TGTGATCTCTTAATAAATATTCATAAAAGGACAAAATAGTAAAACAATGTTTAGATGTGTACAGCAACATGGGGCATTTATCAGGATATTAAATCAGTTAAACTTAACTGAGTCACATTTTAATGGTTTGTACATCCAGATTTGTCACATAAAAACTAAACAAACTAAAGAGAAATAGTAGCAGTCCCAGAGTGTTAAAGAGATATTTAAGGACAAAGTAAATATAAAATCATCATTGCCACATAAGCTTATATTACGTTAGTGATGATATATAAACAAACTGACTTAGTTTGCAATTCAAATTCTTGTGTGTGTTTGTATAGATGAATGCACTGACCTAAACTAGCCTATAAACTTAAATTACAGTCAAAATTATAACTAAAGAGAAAATAAAAGCATAGGAACAAAAAAAACATAACTCAAACGTCAATTACAAAAACAAATAAAAGTAGAAACTGAGATTTTCTGCTTTTCGGCTATTCATTTATTGTTTGTGTAAGCTTGCATTTTCACATGCAGCTATGTGATTTCCTTCAAACTGCAGGGTAAATCTTCTCCTTCCTCACATTCTTGTGGAAGACACAATGCCCACGAGTCGGATTCCTTACATTATTTTATCACTGTCAGTCCTCTAGTCCGACTCAAGGTCAATCAAACGATTCGTTTTTAATTCCTCACAAAGCTAGAATTCCGACACACAACTCTAAACTCGGTGGACATTTTCATAAAACCACAGAACTGGGTGGACGCAAATTCCAGATAGAAAATACTGACTGGAAAAACGAAGGGGGAAACAGGAAGATCAGCTCTAAATGCAGTCCACTTGTAGCCAGGAGTAAAAAAAACGTGCCTACACCCAAATTGGGTATGCTGAGAACTCCCTCGTACCCTAAAAATCGCTCAAACACACGAGCCCGACTGCTGCTGCAGCCATAACAAGCCGAGCATTCATGCCCACAGATGCAAAGCCAGTAAACATCTAAGAGCTCAGTAAAGCAGCGATGAAAAGCACTGATACACTGCTGTTTCAGTCTACCCACATGGATCTGCATCCAAAAAATGCAGGGATTCTTTTGCTTAACAAAGCAGGTTTCTGACAACGAGCACGAACCCAAAGTAAAGTCAATGACACAGTCACATTAGGAAAAAATAAAGAGAAACAGAGATGCACCAGTCAGTCAGTCAGTCAGGATTGAACTGGACAACTCTTTCTCGAGTGGCAAGTCAAGAATTGAAAAATCTGATTATTTTCATTATTAGTAATTAAATGCACCAAAAATTGAACTCTCATCATTTTCAGGAAATCAATGCATCAAACAGCACAAGCTTTGATGCATTTTTGAGATTAATAAAATAATAAAAAAAGATTAGGTATGTATGATATGATGCACTCATCAGGATTATCTTTGTTTTACGTCACTCTACAATGCATAAAACAATTTTAAACACATTTTATTATAGATTTGGGATGCATCAATCGCAGTTTTCTGACAAATCGCTGATTACGACCTTGAAAAAGCTTGACCTGTCGATTCCAATTTTGATCTATATCATTTTTTTTTTGTCTGAAATGTACACTGCAAACGTAAGAGATGGCTTGGCGGCTGGTCTGTCAGTCAAGCCTCCTTCACAGCAGAGCGGAAGAGGACAGTGGCTGATTGTTAGATCTTTGTTGAGGTAGATAAGATCGGCTTCATATGCAACTATCTGCCAATCAAGGACCTCCCTAAATTAGTTCAATCAGCTGGCACATAAATCAGATTGGAGATGCAGAATGTAATGATACCAACATCAGTATCGGCCAATTTTTCTGAACATCTTCATGCTGTTTGCTTCTGGAGGGGAAGTGGAGGAGGTTGGACCAGCAGTGTTTGTTCATTACATGACAAAGATGGTGATGCGGCAAAAAATTATGGGAAGTTTAACTGAAGCAGCGGTGTGGCTGTATTTTCTCAGGTGTCTAAAACTTTGTGAAATATGTATGATATCAGAAAATATTGGTTATCAGCCACAGCAGAAATATTAAAATCAGATATCAGCCCAAATTTTCATTTTGGTGCATCCCTACAGACCAGAGAAAACTTAAAAGTCCATCATCAGTAAATCAAAGTTCAAGCAAAAGCATGATCTCAAATAAACAGCAAAGCACCAATTGATCAGAGACAATAATCGACTATTTTCTTCTTGTTTGGCTCCGATTAGTGATCTGAGGCCCAACACTGAAAAATATTAACCTTTTGTTGCATTTATAACATCCAGACATTTTTGGTTCCCGAATGCACCAAGTACTTGGATGCACTTTTGTCAAGTTTAATAAAAGTAACAGAGCAGCTAAACATTGCATTTAGAAACTTTTATTTTTCTAAATGCAGAACATTTAATACCCTAGGTGTTATATTCTTTAAGGGGGAAAAGAGCAAAAAGAAAAAGAAAATGGACTGTTAGTCAGCTCTAAAGCTCCTGTTCATCAAAACTAGAATCTTTAGGAACAACCACAATTTTGCTGTTCCACCAACCACACATTGATGCATTTCTTGGCTTTAAATAAAGTGTCAACCAAATTATTCCCAAATTACAAGCGCACATTTTAAATAAATAAATAACCATCTCAAAGACAGAACCGATATCAGTTTCTGTCAGGAAAAGTCAGATAAACAACAATCAATCAAATAGCCTGCTAGTTATTGGGCAGAAAACAACCCAGAATCAGAAGGTCAGACCTCATTAAAACAGATTTGAACTGATTTTTAATGCAGAGCGGAAAAGAACCCAGCTCTACATTTAAACTCTCCAATGAGAGACTGACTCTCCAGCTTTTCTACTGATATTCAGGTCAGCCATTGTTGATGTTATCCACCCTTAAGAGTGGAGGGGGTTATGCCATATGCCAACAAAACAGACACAACTGGCCAGCAACATATAGGAGCATGAAGGAGGGGGAATCATGCAGCATAAATACTTTCAAGCAGGAAGCTGCAATTCTGCTGATTTACCATGTGCCTACTGGTTTGTAGCAATAGGACATGGCACTGAACCACTCAGCTTGTCAAAACTTTAAAAATGAGCTGAAATTATCAATTATTTCCTACTGACAGGATTGTTAAAGGAAAAAAAATAGATAAACCTAGTTTGGTATTTACAAGTAGTTAGCTAGCTTCGTCTGAAATTCTTATGTCAGTAAATCCATGGCACATTGTTATCCAAAATAAATAGCGCAACAACTAAATCATTTATAAAACAAAGTAAAAAATAAACTAAAACTCCAATCCAGTCGTTATATGTCATCCGGCTGCTTCAAACTACAAACATTAAGTTGTATCCGTGGCTAACATTAATTACAGGAACTTTTACGAAGTGGCATTAGTTAGCCTAGCTTTTATAAAGTTAATAACTTCAATCAGAAGGGTGTTTTTGTCAAACCAACGTTTAGCTCTAGGTAGAGAAGTTGCAGATTTGTCTGCGTCCATTGTAAGCAGGTGACCGAACTGAGAGCTAACGTTTACTAGCCGGGGAAGCTTGCCGCTCAAACAGCCCGGTAAACGGCCGCGGCTGTCCGGAAACATCGTAAACTCATTACCACGACGAACGGCGCAAACAGGTCTAACAACAACAAGCTAATGTTTTATTTTCGCTTACCCATCTGGGCTCTCAAGCCTTTGAGCGTCGTAGCACTCTCCGCCATTTCTATGAAGTTTTCCTTCTCTGTTTTTTTTTTCTACACCAGGGGCGCGCGACACATCGCAGCCGGTTGGACTCGGACACCGCGGGGACGTGGACATCAAAGACGGTGAAGGGGAGGCCTCACTCTGACCAATTTACGGGAAAACCATTAAACGAAACATGGGCCGAACTTTTCCTAATGTGCTTCCATGTGAATTTATTTCATGGACTGCAGTCATTGACCACAAATCGAAGTTTATTTCAAAACGGATATAATATGCTAAATAATATGCAATTTTTATTTAAATAAATAAACAAAGATTAAAAATTAAAGTGAAATAAAAATATTTCTATATTGTATATTATGTTTTTTGGTACTATTATATTTTTCTATTTTATAATATTATAGTATTTGTATTATTATCAGTTTTGTTATGTACTTTTTGATTTTATAGCGAGTCTGCGGTTCTTCTCTTAAGCATTTCATTCCATTGTTGACTTTGTGTTAATCTGCATATAATAAATAAACCAATCTGATCTGATTATTATTATTCCAATAATTATTGTTATTTGAAACGTGCTCTTTTCACCGTTTTTTCATTAACTGTGCGCGTTTAAGAAGCCTGTTGTACTACATCTGTATAATAAACGATCACGCACAAAGAAGGTAAGACGAGAAACAACGGTGGCTACGTCTAATTAAAGAAGCGCCCTCTAGCGTTCACATAGGTACTTGTTACAGGCTTCAAAAAACATGGGCCGAGTTTGATTTATTGTAATAAATCAAACTAATTGTCTCTTTTATTGTCACAAAATACTATTGCAAAGACAAATTCTTATTGTGGTTATTGTATAATTTATAATACATATATATATTTTTACAAATTTTACACAGAAAGAATAAATGTAGGACATTTTCACTTGAATTGCCTATAAAGTACGTTTGATATAATTTAAAAAAGAATGTGATGGCTTAAAGCCTTACCAGTTTTGATGTGTTGGAGAATCTCTTAGACCCAGAGATGATCAATTCACAAACATCTCCCAGTAAGTGGATAAGAAAATGTTCTCAGAGCTCAAGTTCCTGTCTTTTACCATGAACACTGTATCCTCTGTCAGGCTTTGTCTCACATGCTTTTGCCAGAGGGCTGCTCACCCATTTCACATTGTACACAGGAAGCAACATCGCCTAGAACTGCAGCTGGACTAACTCGGCTATGGCATAAATTGATTTTGAAAACTGATTTATTTTATCTAAAATTATTAGTTTATTGTCATAACTCCTGCATTATTTTCTGCTTAGCACAGGTTACACAAAATAAATTAGTGAAGTCAGCTCTGTTATGAACAGTGGTGTCACATTTCACTCCAAATCTATTTTCCATAGAAGAAACAATGTTTTTTTCATCTTGCAGTAAGTAAATTCAGCCTGATCTGGTGACTGTGTCATCATGTAAAGCAGGTTATGAGTAACACACAACAGTTCAAGTCATGGGAACACATCCTCAGGGTGTAAGTAATCACTTGTTCACCAGGGCTTTGTGTATTCTTGAAACAACTTCAAAATTAGGCAGGAGCGCAGCGGCCTGGGCCAGTTGGGGAAGCTGCGTGTAGGTGGAGGTCCGGAGGTACTGAAAAAGGTCCTGGAAGCTGTGGAAATGAGGAGTGAGGTGAGGTGGCACACCCAAAGACAGCCCCAGCTTCCTCAAAACGTAGATGTGGTTGGGAGAGTCGAGCAGCAGGGACAAATCCTGGATGGTGTCGTAGCTCAGCATCTCGATACTCTGACCTGAACGGATTCAGAACTTGCAAAATAAGAGCTCAGAATTTAAAGACCCAACTGGAGAATATTTAGATCTTTTTATAGTGTAAGGTAAAGCACGTACCTTGAGCAATCTCCCATATTGTCTGCAGTTTTTGCTCCACCTAATGTTGATATAGTAGATGAAGCATGATTACTCATTCGTTTATTAACTAATGAATATATTTGATCACTGATGCTAACAGTAATTAAATACATATACAATGATTTAGAATAAATTAATCACTTTTGGCAATTATTTTAGGAAGGGGACAATATGAAAAATTTCCACTAGATTTAATTAAAAAACAAGGTACTATAAACTACCCTTTATGCCACAGGATACAACTTTTATAAAAATATGTTTAGTTCACAATTTTTGAGATAATTGTCATCGAATTTTCTAATCAATAATTGATACAGACTCAACATATGCTCTTTTGCCGACAGATCATTACAGTCAGAGCAGTAATTAAACCAAAAGTGTACAAAAAATATACAGACTTTACATTTAGGCAACAATAGAAATATAGGTATACATAAAATAAAAAATAATGGGGTTTAAAAAACACCCTTTGTAAATATGTTCTACCCAAAACTTGATCATTTGTAGCATATTTTGCAACAAACAAAGAAGCATTCACTAAAGGACTGCTTTGTTGTTGCATTTTAGGCATTTCTTATATAAAAAAATTAAATAACTTATTTGTTCATTTGCATTTTTAATGCATTTTTAAGATTGTATAAAATTAGCTCAAGTCGTTAAATGAAAAATCTTCAAAAAGTGGCAAGTTTTTTTTATCCAATTAATTGATTGGTTGGCAGAATAACTGATTACTAAAATAATCGTTATTTGCAGCTCCACTATGTACTTCAATACATGAAGAAAATTTCTTTAAAATCAACTTTAAAACTAAGGTTTGAAGAAATGCTCAAATCTTAAGACACAGAGCGCTCAGCAAAGGTCTCAGTGTTGCTGCTGCAAGATTCTCAGAAAATGAGGAAAAGAAAACAAAGTACCTCCTCTGTGGTGAAGCCTTTCTGTGCTTCCTGCATGATGTTATCTTGCTTCTGACTGCAGGGCTTGATGTTGGTGGTGACATTAATCACGATAGAAGTGGGGTGCATCTCACTCTCATGGTTCAGTGAGTTTGGACCTCTGGGTAGTTTAACATTTTAAAAAATAGGACATAGATTAAATACATAAAAGGTGTTCTTTGTTCCAGATTTCACAGAAAACATACCTTGGTGTGTCTTCGGGTGAAACGGGCTCTGAAGGACGGTCTTGTTGTGTTGCTCTCTCTGCGTGACCGGAGGGACATTCGTCCTGAAGGTCTGCTGCAGACAGTAAACCTTCAGGCTTTCGACGGCACTCAGGAATTTGCTCTGAACAAAGAAACATGTTTAGAATCTCACTTTTATCCAATAAAACAGTAGATATGGATAAAATGCTGATAATCTAACTTACTGAATCTTTTTGCAGTCAGGAGGAGAATCCAAAGTAACAGAGAAATGAGAAAAAACAAGGACGCTATTGCAGCGCTGATAAAGACCACAGAAAGATTTTCCTCTTTTATTCCTGAAAGAAGAACAAGAAAACATGCAAAAAAATTTAAAATATGTTAAGAGTTCAGGTGGAAATTTACATGAATTCATCCAGGATACGAATATCCTGGTATTTTGGAGATTTGTGGATAGATTTGAACTGTTCTTTTTGTACTGAACAATAAGGTTATACAATTAACAGCATTATTGAATTTTAAAAACAATGAATTAACGAAAATGGAGGACTATTCAGTCAACATGTGATTGCAGGCCTCATGTGGCTTTTTGTCAGGCAGAGTGAGTATTTACTGGGCTTGGAGTCACGATAGACTTCTGGTCGGGTCCATTTACAACTCATATCGGCAGCGTATTTTCTGGGTCTCACATAGGTTCAAATCGTACAACAAGTCAACATTTTACCCCGAGTTGTCCTGCATCAAACATATATAGATGCTGTTAACATGGGAGCAGAAAACAATCTCTGAAGGTTAATTTTTCTATTTATGTAAATGTTGGTTGGGTACCTTCAAATAATTTAATTGCATCTCACTTCATAAGATAGCCTGTTGAAATCCCAACAGGATTAAAGAAAGTTCACAAAAATTCCAGCTTGTGCACCAAAATCTTGTTTTCAGACATTTAATTCATTTATATTTGTTGTATGTTTATTACATTTTGATGAAAGCTATGGCCATTTTGGCTTTCATGTAAATTTCTCTCTGGATCTCTATGAAGGTAAAGGTAATTTTATTAATATAGCACATTTTCAGCAACAGGGCAATACAGGAATTAAAAGGAAATGCAAACAAAATAACAAACTGAAGGAAAGAGCAACAGAAGAAAAAGCTAATAACATTCATCCAAAGTAAATAAACTAGATACTCTAATTCAGATAAGAATAAGAAAGTATTCACTGGTCTCATTCATTTTCCGGTTTTGAAGAATAGAGGTTTAAAAAGTAGTTGCCAAGTTAGTTTTTATGGGTTCCAAGTTCTAATCCCTGTTCTGGGATGCTAAATAATCTCTGGATATATATAAATATTCAATTACCATTTACTGTTGATTCTTCTGACTTTCTGACTGGTGACATGATGGCACTCTCTGTCAAACAAAATAACAGTTTCAAGAAATCACCAATAGATGCAGAAACGTCTGCACAAAGTTTTGTGTTGTGTCACTGGTTTATCTTTGGGTCTTACGTGTTTTTGAGCCTCGGGACGTAAAGTGCAAACACTCTTTGTGGAATGTGTCACGACTGTCACAAGGAATACACAGCAGCTCCACCTCCCCTGTCAGGCTCTTCAGCTCATAATGTCTGCACACCATAACACATACAGTGTATATCAGCTGAAACTAGGGACAAAATGTGACTGGTGTTTTCTCTGGCGCTGTGAATGGGACTAACCCTGGGAGACAGTGCCCACACACAGTGTCGCTGGTGGGTGAACAGGCAGTCAACGCCAGGCGGTTCAGCAGATTGCACTGGGTGCATCTCCTGCAGGGATCCACACCTGCATCTGTGCTGAAGGTCCCCGCTTCACAAGGAATACACACTCCATCCCCTCCATAGCCAAAGCCACAATCCTGAAAGTGATATATGGTGTAGATTTAGTGTCATCAGGTTTTATAGGAGGAAATGTTTCTGTGAAATAGCTTTGCATTACCCCTGACAGCTGTTGTCCAGGTTTACAAACAGGGCATGCAACACAGGAGCCATTATGGTGTAAGAACTCCGTCTGATCACATCTAGGCTCAGATTGCACCTATGCACACAAAGGAGGGGTATTAATTATAGGAGTTTAGAAACAAGTAGGTAAGACTATAAGCCAAATCAATCCTTTCTATCATTTCAACATCATTAAATACATTTATAGAGCTTTGCAAAAGATTTGCTTCCTGAAGTTTCTTGCATGTTTTCAACTATAGCCACAAACACAAAGAAATTCATCTTTCCCATGTAGAAGGATAATAAAGAATGGTTAAGATTTATTTTTAAATGTATTTTTCAAAAAGTGTTGCATGCTATTCAGTTACCCAGTTCCCTCCTTGGAACACATGCACCCCTAACCAGTTTGCACAACAAAAACTAGGATGTTTTGGCCACTCGTCTTTTCAAAATTGGATGGAGATTATACATTTTCAAGTCTGTTACATTAACATACGTTTTCTAGGGTCAGTGTACTGCTTTAACGTGTTATGGTCTCCTTTAAAAGACCTTAATCCAACTCCTTGATCCCCCTCAGTTTATAGAAGTTCTGCTGGGTAATGAAATGTTCATTTTATTAAGTTACGCTTAATGTGTTCGCTATTTCAGTGTTTCTCAACTTTGATCCAAAGATTCAGTTGTGTTTCCTTTTTTAGGTGTTTCCCTGTTCAAGATGTTCTGCAGAAAATCCACAAAATACTAACACAGTATTTAGGAAAATTATGCACTGTGCCATCATATTTAAGTGACAGTGAAAAAGGAAAGTAATAAAATGACAGACATACCATCAATATGAAAGAAGCTCCAATCAGAAATGTAAACATGCCCCTTCTTTATTGTGTATGTTCCAACTTGAGGAAACACAACCTTAAAAATGGTTTCACGTTAAACTAAAACAAAAACAACACATTCTGAGATAGAAAGTCGAATGGATTAAAAATGTCAAACACTTACGAATTTTTGGATGTCTGTTCAATATCTTCCCACCTTCTGTGTTTGTCCTGATCTCTGAGTTTCTTAGAGGAGGAATTCAAACAGTGGGAAAGATCTTTGGGAAATCCCACCGCTCTACCTCACCTGTGACGCAGGAGGGGTTCCCAAGCAGGGTAATCTTAGACCACTGAATACAAGTCCCCCAGATGGGGCACTTCACGTCACAAACCCTCTCTCACTTTACTCCTGACCACTGAGACGAAAAGGGAAGGGGATAAAAATAGATGAATGAGTTCCTTGTTAGCGGCTCTTAGCTCAACAAAGAGGCTTTGTTTGTGTCAGAGTGTGACCCCATTTCTGGGGTCAAATCTTTGATTCTGTTGCAAGCAACACCTTGGTAAAGCCTGGGCTCCTGGTGTGGATGACAGAAAAGTTCATAAACTCTTTCAATACAAAAGGTTGCAATGCAAGGTTTGGCCACTTGATGGGAGTATCGAGCAAGAAAAATGGAGAAGGAGGAGGAAAAATTACTCAAAGTTACCTTTTGCTTAAAAATATACCTTTCTGGTTAGAAAACATGAGTGTAACAATTCTGTTAATACACACTGATTGTTAAATTGCTTCATTGTTGTGATGATCTTGGCCTGCCTTCAGTTCTTTACAGCTGAAAGCCATTGGACATGTCACTGAAAAGCCAATTAGGTTTGTTTGGACAGTTATCGCTTGAAGATAAAACTCAAAGCACGAGAGTATTAAGCTGAACTCATGACTTGATAAAACCTACACACAAACACACGCACAGGAGCACATAGTAACATCCGCATGATGTGGGCGTCACTATGACTAATGACACAAATGAAATGACAAACCATGTTTTCTGTTGCTTTAAGTCATGTATTTGCAGAAGCAGTTGAAACACTTACAGGTTTGTTGTGCAACGAGATGCAGAGATATATTGTCGTCGCACCAACTGCAAATTTTCAGCTTTGACTTTTATTCACAACTTTTATGCAACATCAAAACTATTAATTTCTTTTGTTTGTTTAATGAAGTTTTTTGTCAAACAATAGCATGTTTGTTGGTTAATTTTATTGCTTGTGATTAATGAGTAACTCCAGAAACTAAAGGGAGTGGGTGTGGAGATGTGCTCATAGAGTAATAAAGGAACAGTTGCCAGCTGTCATGATTCACACAGATTCTCACTTGATAAGTGAAGTGAGAGCTCATTTTCTGGCAAAACGCTTCCTTAGAAAGTGAGAACGTAATGGTAAGTCTCATTTTATTTCACTCAATTTAGTTATCCTAAATTCTTTGCATGCTATTCTTTCTTGATGAGAAGGCAAATGGATAAAACATGACAGGTTTTCCTGCTCTTTTAATGCAGATGAACACCTGAGTGCTGAAGAAGTCCCAAAATTTTGTTTCAATTATTGCTGTCATGACGTCAATGAGAAGCTTAATTTTTCTGATCATCTGTTTGTCTATATTGATGTCACTGTGTCCTCTAAATTCAGGTAAGATTAAATAAATTGCCCAAAGTAGCACCTTTGAAGTATGATGTCATGTATATGTTTTTATGAATTAAAACAAGTGAATTGAGTGCTTAGAAAAAGTATTTTTTAATGTGTCCTCAAATGTATTTATTACTCTGCAGACCAGGCTTTGTTTTGGAAATGACAACTTGAAGGTATCTTGATCAGTTCAAGTACATTTTATTTATCAAGTACATTTAATTTGACTAAAGGTGCTTCAAACAGAAATATAACAATAAAAACACTTAAAACAACAAATCAAGCTAATATAAAAAATTAAGGCTACACAAAATGAAGAAAATGGGAAAAAAAAAATTTATGAATTGAGAAAAGAAAAAGATCCTCGAGTAACACCATGAGCAAGAATAACGATCAAATTCAAAGTTATGAAAAGAAACAGAAAAGATCCTGTAGGATAACAGGAAAGACAATTGAGAGAGTGAAATTTAGATCTTGGAAATAAGATATTATTTCCAAGATCGTGAATCAACACAGAATAATAAACCATACTGAAAACTAAATTAAGCCCAAGGAGAAAGACGTTCGTGTGATGTTGTTAGATCAAATAACGTCTTTAATTTAACAAATATGAATTTGATGATAATGATTTTATGCCAAATAATGTGTTTCTTAAAAGTGGCAGATTGAATTGGTGAAGAAAGACTTGTGTGGCACATTTAATGATTGTTGATTTATGGTGAAATGATTGTCGGAGTGACAGGAGTGCTCACTTGGTACATTGCAGAGGTTTTGAGGAGTCACTGCTTTTATCCTGTATCATCTATGTCTTGTGTGATGCCTTGATAGTAAGAAATATTTTTAAAAATGACTGCTTTCAGAATATTTTTAAATCTTATGAGTTTTTACTGCTTTTAAAAAAAAAAAAAAAGAATATAATATTCATTGTGCCATTAAATATGTATGCTACTTTACTGCACTAAATGTACAGGTTTATTTGTTGTCATTTGTTTTAATGTGTTGTTTGCCTGCATGCATTTAGAAAAATCACTCATTTTATTAATGTTTTCTGTATTTACAGATGTGTAAGTTCTTATATAACTATTTTGTTAATGTTCTACGTCGTCAGATGTATTCTGAGGTCAAAACTGTTTTTCTTTAAGTCTTCACTAGTCTTTTCTGTGCGTTTTTTCATCAGCCAACTCTGCCAGCACCAGTCTGTGGGGAAAGAAGTTGGAGTTTGACGGGCCTCCATGTTTGTGGCAGCTCCACCCGGAAGTGAGCGTTCCAGCTCTGACGGATCTGAGCATCTGCATTCGTTTAAAACGCACAAGTTCAGCAACATGGACAGGCTTTCTTTATAGATCTAAACAACGGAAAGAGTTGGGAATTGAAGGCAATAATTCACATTTAAAAATTTGGCATTTAGGAAAACAATACCAAGTACGTGAGGACCTCTCATTAAAGAAATGGTATTCCATCTGTCTCACATGGTCTGGTAAAAACCAGAGGCTGAAGGTGTACTTAAATGGACACACAGTAAAAAATCTAGGTTTTTATTCAGATGATGCTCAGCAACAGCTGGCACAAAACGGCACTCTCACTCTGGGGGTTTCTCACAATGTTCTCCCTAACGGTGAACTGAGGCCAGAGAGCGGGAACAACTTGCTTGGTGAGATAGGTTTGTTCAGGATGTGGGGGAAGGAGTGGAGCGCTGAGGAGGTGAGCAGCCTGGGCTGTGCAGACGGAGATGTAGTGAGCTGGGATCTGCGGCAGTGGAAGAATGACTGTCCTCCTGTCCCCGACAACAGTCTGACCTGTGGTAAATATAGGATTTTATTTTCACTGATATAAATGTTGATCTAAGTCTGTCTGAAACACTGTTTCTCATTTTTTCACTGTAATTTACTGGGACTGCAAGGGGCAACATTTTTGAGCTTTTCTTCATGTTAAAGTGTTATTCCCCCATCAAAAATCATGGAATGTTGTCTTAATTCTTGGATACATGTTTGAGAAATCCTTTAAGCTCCATGGCAACCATTCAGTTCCTTTAGACTAGCCAGTAGCAATTAGCAAACACCTGGTGGCACATCTGCTGAGGTCATTACAGAAGCTACTTTGCAGTGAAACGCTGGTAAAACGTTGCTAAAGGGTTAACAGAGGAGCCATGTTGTGAAAACTTCCTTAAGGTGGAGTTTCAGAAAGAGCAGGAGTTTTTAAAGTGACAGATGCCCAAATTCAAAGTGTTAAATTACAAAGTAAAGTCAAATTTGATATATATATTGCATTTTTCTAACAATTCAAGTTAAGATCGTTACTTGATTGTGCCATAAAATGATGCTATGTGCTTGGAAAAACACAGTACTGCTCTTGTAAGTGAAAAACAAACAAAACATCTATTATAATGGTGAAATGGAGAAAAAGTTATGGTTTCAAAATGGTTTTTAATTAAAATATAAAAAAGTAACTCGCAGTCGGCCAGAAAATACACTTTGAAGTTTGTAGATGTAATGTGACAAAGTGCAGAAAGGTGCAAGAAGCATGATTACTTTAACAATCCTGCAAATCTACTGTTTGAAATCCCTATTTTGCTGACTTTGGAGTCAAAGAAGAAACATTCTGACTTTTCTCATTTTGAGGTTCATGACCCCATTAATGGATCTAACACGGTTCCTTTTTTTCTATTTTTAAGGCTGGTCTAATTACAAAATCAAAATGTGGGTGACCGCAACCGACCGCAACAGTCCTGAAAACTGTTCACTGGCTCTGGAAGGAATCACAAGAAACTGGGTACAAACATCTGCTGTCACACTGTCTTATCATGCATGTCGATACGGGAATCTAAATGTAAAGAACACATTTTCAACCTATTGTCAAATCTTATGCTCTGTTTTTAAAGTGCATGGAAGAAGAGTGTAAAATTGATGGAGTTTATGGTGTAACTAATAGAATGGAATAGAATAAAAACAAACAAATTGTCCCTCAATGGGAAAATGCACAGTCGCAAATGATTGACCAACTAATAGGAGGTGAAATTTGAATAATCTGTCAGCAGATTATGATGGCCTTAAATTATTCAGATAATTATTATTACATGAATTACTGTGAAAGTCGATTTAGTTCTTTAGATAATGTTTTATCTAGAATCTAGTTTCTTGTGTAATCTCCTGGATTAGTTATTTATGCGCTCTTTGAGTAATTTTGGCAGATGTGTCACTCCTGGGAAGATACACCAACGATTTGTTAATAATGACTCTCACTGTTGTTCACTGGAGTCCCCAAAACTTATTTTTGTAAACATTTTCATGTTGATAAATTAGAAAATTTGTTTCCTTAAGTAAAGGCATGATTACTTTTTAAAACCCTTTAATGCTCCAGGTCATTAGATGGGTATTAATGAGATGATTTTTGGATTCTGCAAGTTTGAGAGTGATTAAGT